AAGCTTTATGCTGGGTTTCATTACGCGCCACCGAGCGTTGTTTAGCCATGACAGAATCGCGTTTATACTTTTGGAAACACTAACCGCAACACCGTTACGTAGGCTCGGAACAGTAGGTGTATTCCAATTAATAAAATTCATAGACATTTTCATTTTTAGTATATTAATAATAAAAATGAACTTATATTTCGTCCGCAGGAATTCTCATTGACATCTTGATGATTGGCTGACCCTCAGAAATTTGGTATTTTCGTTTCGAGGGACTCCTTTTCCTTATATCATGAATCTAATATTTGAAAAAAATTTTCGAAGAATGTTTATAGGAATTTTGAAACGTGATGCCATAGAAAATGAAGCACCAAAGATGCGATTATCTTATGGCATTTTATCCACGTTTGTCCGTATTTTGTTTGATTATCCTTCGCCTCGGTCTTTTTCTCCCTCATTCTTCACTTTGTCCCGTGAAAGTTGAATGAAAAGTTGGTAGAAAGACACTGTTCCCGAGGAGTATGAGTAAAACGATTGTCAGACGTGTGGCGGACGGCGAGTCCTTGAGCTTTTCAACTTATAAACAGTGACAACTTGGTTTCTCACGATCTCGAGATCCGTGCCGAAAATTCCTTACTCGTAAGGAAGCGTTTAGAGGCTCGAGGCTGCTGCCCACGAGCTATCTGTCAACGGTGATAAATGGCATTTGCTATAATAAATAACTCGTCATTTTTTACGTAACGGGGACCGATCGATGTCTGGATTAGCCATCGGAAATCCTCGACGAATAAAACAGGATCCGTCTAAGGAATTCTCTAATTGTCACGAATTTGCTGTCAAACGATTCATACGCTATTTGCGCGCCGTTATCGTGCAACAGTTGCTTGCATAAACATCGGTTCATTAAGTTTCTCTTGCACTTTGTCAGGTTCGTGTAGGGTGTAATTTTCATAATCGCTCGAGTGAATTTGCAAATGATACTTGTGTATTTTTTTGCACCTTTGCGCGCGTGTTTTACACGACGGGATAATAGGATACGTCGGGGACACCAATAAATATTCCAGATCGCATTTGTAATGAATATAATCTAAGTAGGGGACGTGCCTCGGCTATCTGGAATACGTGAGCTGCCTTACGGGTGCCAGTCAGACAGATAAAAACTAGCAAATGTCCTGGATAAACGTGTACTTTGCCGTAACGATGCAGATCGAAAAGAATTTTGAAAAAAGCTCGAAGAGGTCGAAGAGGGATCGCCTTTCGTCTGGGAATGCGATTGTGAAACGTGGAATTAACGAAGGGTACGAACGAGATGTCATAACCGGAATGCTTTCTTGCGCTCTGATAAAAACGGATGACAGAGCACATTACGAAAAATCGCAGGAAATATGATTCGAAACGTGACTTTTAGGTTCCACCTTAGACACCTTTTCGGTTATTTATTCCAAATTAAATTACCGCAGGTACGTGAAAAATGGTTTCCCTTCGCTCATTTTCTTTTCCTGAAGACGTTATTATTAGAGAATTGTGGAGAAATGTACACTGTGACAAAAAGATAGCACGTGCGATTAACTTGACGTTGCCATAAACCACAGCTGTGGTTTCCAACGTCAAGTTGATTTTAACTACGCGCTATGGCATTCTCGTGCTATAGTACTTTGTGCCGACCTTTATCCTTAATCGCATATCGTTAGAAAATTACGAGAGGTAATAATAATTCAAAATTCGATGAAAATTTCTCGTTCTATTAAGTAATTACAATAATTACTCCAATTAATTAATATCCAATTTCTCGATAGCAATGGAAACAAGATTAATTAAAATTCCCTTTTTTTAATTTTTAACAAGAATTGCAACAAACGTTAAATTGTCCAATCTTGAAAAATTAGTCGAGAGAAAAATACTCGAATGACTTTCGCTTATTCCGGTTTGCTAAGTCAAGATCAACTATTCGGATCACGTATCGGGACGTGTATTAAATCCATGGAGATTCGCGATGACAGGAAGGGGACTGCCGGATAATAAACAATAATTTCCGTAACGCGCTCACGTGCAGGTTAAATAGCATTTAACTGCAAACGTGTATATTTCGCTGACGAAATTCTGGAAAGACAATGTTCACGAGCAGCGAACGTAATTCGGGTAGGACAATTCGTTCATTCGAATATTCATTTATTCGAAAGGGGAAAACCAAAGGAACGCTTATCGGCGACAATTCCGTAGAAAGCACAAGCAAACAGTACCTACTATCGCTGATAAACCTTGGAATATTTAACCTGCAGTAATTACTGACCGTTTTACATGCTTTGCATGTTATGGGAGACAAATTTTTGCTGAAATGTGCACAGCTCGGCAAAAACAACGTGTGACTTTGTGCCTGTCTTTGAGCAAAAAGACGGGAACAGAGGTGGATGAATTTTAATTTGAAAATCCGCGAAGGAAGCTCTTTTGTTTAATGAAAAGTGAAACAATTTCATATGAATGACATAATTATGTCACTCAAAAATCGAGTTTTATTATTAATATTCAATTTTATAATAATTTCAGTCAATCTCTTTGCTCTATAAAACAGCTACTACATCGCACCCCTCTTTTCTTATATTTATACAGATCTCGTCTGTTTGTATGCTTGTATATTTTTATTTTTATTTTTATTTATACCTCACTGTAATAATTTTCTTCTGGGTTCTTTCTTTCTTTATACCACACTGTAATAATTTTTCTAACGAGTTAATCCCATATAAATAAATCAATAAATAAATAAATAAATATTCCCAGTGTATAGGTATAGTGGACAGGTGCTTAAATTTCTTAAGAACCCAATTTGTCCCATTCTAAATTTTTATTTCCATTTTGCACTTTTATAACGAGAGATAATCTCAGCCTAAAGCAATCGTTCTCCAATCTTCGAGTAATAATTTGAATTTTCGAAAATCACTTATTTTTCCCATTTCGATCAATTTTATTCGAATCTAAGGATTTCTTATCGCAATTTAAGACAATATTATCTTCCGCGTGGATCACGGAGAATAATTAATTTATTAATTAAAATCTACCTCATTTGATTACAATACGCTTCTCTACACTTCCTCCTACAATGGAATTCCCGATATTATTTTTGTAATATCGAAATCTTCGCTTACGAGTGACTGTATTCAAGAGAAAATCTAAATCCGTTCGTGATGAATAGGTACAACCAGCACAATTTTCCCATCGTTCCCGTTGCAAGGTCCGGTGTCTTCTCGTTGCCACGCCTCGTGGCTATTTGAATTATTCATGGAAATGAAAAAGATATTTCCATGAGGTAAATGCAACTCGTGAAGCGATCGCTTTTAAAGAGCAATTTATTTAAAGAGAGTGGATCGCTGGTTACTCACTAAATATTATCCCACGAAGGATTTATTCCTCGCGGTGGCAAAATTAGAAGCGTATTACGCGAAGAGATGAATGAAAAGAATTTCAGATATTCCCAGATTTCTCGCAGCTTGAGAAAATTGAGCGATTATCTTCCAACTCGATTATTCGTGCATTAATAAATTAGCTAGACAGTGTTTACACTCGTAGACTTTTCGTCGAGCGAAGCGTTAAGTAATTGGATAGATAGTAATTGCGCCAATAAAGATAAGGGAACGAAAAATCGTACAGAAGCACTGATAGCACGAGAGAGGTCAAGGCAAAATTTCTATCCTTTTCGCACCTCGATAAATATCCTGTAACATCTGGAAAGATTCGTTCCCACCGAAATAGCATAGTCTACAGTTCGCCCTTATTTCGCTTTATATAACACGTTTTTCACGTGTTCGTGAGAAGAATCAGCGAGACGTTAGATTAATCCGCACGTGATTCTCGTAGTACTCATTTCGGCTGCAATAAATGACTTCTTTACGTCATCATTCCTGAAAATTGCCCGCGATATTGCTAATCCTATAATCTATATTGGTTCGCTGGACTTCTCGCAAATTATCTCGCTCGTGATATCGAAAAGTGAAACTCGAAAAAGCTCCGGACAATATTGGAATATTTTACGATCGTGTGATGACTGCGCAAAAATTTTCAGGTTCAAAATAACAGAGTTGAATTTCACCAACGAACAACTCGACAATTATAACGCGGTTTTCTCTTTTTACTTTTGCCACAAGTTCTTTCAGATAACTGGACAACGACGTGCTCGAAACTTTGAACAATTTCCTAATTACGTGTAATTGCACGGGTACTTTTTCCTCACGCGTAATCCATCCCTTGACCATTCGATCGATAAGAATTCCACAGTGATAAATCTCCGTGTAACCAACAACGCGTGGCAAAAACGCTGTGCCCGTTGCATACGAAATAAGTAGTAAAGAACGGAAATACGAGACTAATCTTTTCTCCCAGCCTGGCTCATAACATCCCGCAGCTTCCAAACTTTCCGCCATAACGCGCATAAATTGCAGGAAACTTAGCCAACGTAGTCTTATCGTGAAATTATACTTGATCAATAAGCCGTATCATATCTTATCGAATCTAGCCGAACAAACTTCTCCAATATTTCAATAAATAGTTACAAACCGCGTACTCTGGCTATCCAACCGCTCAGCCTGAGATTTCCCGCCGAGAAATCAAGGGGGACACCGAAAGCCATGGAAAACCCGGCAACCGGTCCCAACAATAGGAAACAATATCGGGACACTGTGATTGAATCGCGGAGTCATCGTTTCCGGAATATCGGATACTCCGTAAACCTCGAGGCAACATCGGGACGCGTTTGGAAGGAAGAGTAGCGTGCAGGACCGCCGGGGACCGATCACGAATCCGCGTCACGTGCTGCACTCGGCTAGAGAGGAACGAAGAAAAACGGAGCCTTTCGCCTTGGTCGCGTCGGAAGATAAACATAGCTGTCGTCGTCGCGAAGTTAATCGACAGCCAATCAGGTCGGGGGAGTGTTCCGGTGTGAGACCAATGAACAGCGAGTCGTTATCAAGCGGCCGGACTCATATAACCGATCGCGAGTCCCGGCTAACGTCCACAAAGGGTTCGCGAACGAGCTTCCGCGCGGTCTCATTCCCGCCTCCATTTCTCTTTTTCCCCTATATTTCTTTCCTCGTCCTCTTCGTCGTGTTCGGTCCTCCGACTACCTGGCATAGGCCCGTTTATGCCACCGCGGTACACCTTCGACGTGGACACCTTCGATCCCAAGAGGAGCCGTTTTGCAGAGGTGGCGTGTGCTGGTAGCGCGACCAGCGAACTGTCAGCGGAAGGCCAAACGCGATCACGTAGCCGTTCGTAAGTGGCGCGCCACGCGTATCAGTCGGTCGGCCGATCGTCGAACGATTCGGCTGCGTGCTGTTGCTGCTGGTGGACGGCCGGTTCCACACCGTCCACGGCGTCTGAGTTCAACCGACGAGGACCGGAAGTGGTTCGTCGACTTTCCACTTGACCAGGCCAGGCGTTGCGTGACCCCTTCCAGGAAACACCATGCCAGATGGACTTTTGATCCTTCTCGGCGTCGCTCTGATCGCCTTGACCGATGCCGCCTCGATCGGACATGCCGGCGTCAAGGCCACGGACTGCCATAGGTGAGTGAAAGGGAAACGGCGAAGGTGCAAGGTGCCGCTCGAATCGCTCCTTCCGTGCTCGATTGCTATAGCTTCCCGGCCGGCACTCGTTCCAGAACTTACATACGCGCACACCGGCTACGCTCTTGGCCCAGAAACTCTTCTCTCTTCGCTTTTTCTTCCTTTCTTTTCTTTTTTTCTTTTTCTCTTTTTTCCCCCCCAGTTCCCTTTCTTCTCTCTTTTCACGTTTTTCCCCGCCCGATGAAGCTCCCTCCGCTATTGCTCCGCTTTTCTTCCGTTTTTCCATTCTCGACCGGCGTCTTTGTTTCTACGGCTTTCGGTTTTTGTCCGCGTCGGGGATGAGAAGCGTGGAACCAGGGATCTTGGGTCGGGATTGCAGGCACGCGGTTTGCTTTTTCGACGGATTGGGTCGTTGGGTTCGTAATTTTTGGCTGTTTCGAAGATTCCCACAGAGGCACGCGGTCATCCTCACGCTGGCTTCTCGGTTCCTCGTTGCTCGATGGAAATATTCCGTGAAGGTATTCCAGATGAGCACCGTTATTAAGATAATTTGTCATAGATCTCGTTATATTCCATTAAAACTGAAATTACCACATACTTGTGCGGAAAGATTATTCGATGCCAGATTTATGCATCACTCTTACGTAAGATATTAATCGTTCGATTGATATTCGCCGGTGGATATGAGCGTTTATCAGTGATGGGAATTTTCATTGTCGAATTGGATTGTTTTTCTCTTCTCTCGTGTAATTTTTCCCGAACTTATCGTTCGTTAATGCGAAACAGAAAGTTACTCGGCGATTAAAGAATAGTTTTTCCCTTGTACGTTTCGCTCGAAACGATACGATACGATTAATAAAGAGGAGTCAATGTCTCGTAAATAACAACGATAATACTCGAGAGCGGATTTAATACTGTAATATGTTTACATCAGCTTACAACGTCGTCTTTGCTACTGGCATTTTCCTTTCACCTCGCTTCACGAAATTATTTCGGCTATTTACGTCGCCGATTTTATGAGATTGCCGATACTCGAGCAATCGCGTGCATAATTATAAATAAAATTCGCTCGATGTTCGTTAAGTCGATGATAACGTTCTGCGTGCAATTATTAGCGCGATTGGCAGTTTCTTTCTCTTTATCCGGCTTTTAAAACGCAACGAAGTATACAAACGCGCAATTACGTTGATAAAATTAATTTCTAAACAAGCCGATTTTGCAGTAAATTATCAGTAACATTCGTGCCCACGACACGGAAATCTCCGAAACCTCAGATAAACTTGGTCTACTTTTTACCCGCCGGTGTATATATATAAGTGAGAGTCTCGACGATAAAAAGAAAAACTCTTGATATCGCTGGAGCACGTTCCATAGCGATGCAGGAAATACTAGAACATGAAAAGGGTTCGAGTCGATTGCTATGAAAATACTCGTTTCCACTGATTCAACTATTTACGCAAACTTTTTATACGATAAATTTTCTCCTAAATAAACATACACGTATTTGTCTCGACAAATTCGAACACTCTGTAAAATTAAATATATTTCTTATTTCAAAGATGTCGCGTCATTGGGACCCGAAGATATTCCATTATGGATTCAGTCTCGTTCTCCAACTATTTTTAATTTTAGCAGAATTGTATCTACATTTGAAAAGTTTCATATATTGCTTGAATTTTTAAAATATTCAGGAGCAATTCGGAACTAAAGATGGAAATTCTAAAATTTATCTGTTATCAAAATTATCTGACATTCTTAGCAATTTTATTATGGATTCAGTCTTGCTCTCCAGGTATCTTCAATTTTAGCAGAATTGTATCTCCTTTTGAAAAGTTCCATAAATCGCTGGAATTTTTAAAATATTCTGGAGTAATTCAAAACTAAAGATCGAAATTCTAAAATTTATCTGTTATCAAAATTATCTGACATTCTTAGGAGCCTGAGAAAATCTGAAACGTTAAATTTAATTCGATTTCAAACATTTCCAAATTTCTCTAATTAGAACAAAAATCCCCGAAAATATCAAGACTATAATTTACAAAAATTCCTCAGTTTTTCGTGTCTCAAAGGGAGATTCAAATTTGCAGGAAATTTCATGCTGGTTATTTTTAAATTTCGCAGATAATGTATCAGTCATACGTTGAAAATAAATCACGAATTAAAAATCTCCGTGAAGGAACAACGATTCTACAAAAGATCTGCAAAACCGAGCTTCCGTAATCTATTCCCACGATCTGCTAGATAAAAATAGACCGTTCTTTGTTCCATGATAAATCCGCTATTCCGGAAATGTTCGTCATCTCGCGATCAATCGCGATCAATGAAAGAATTTGATAGATTCCAGTTTTCCGCGGCAAGTTTATTTACCATTTATTCAATGCACGCCTTGTTGTCGCAAGGTTGGTATCTATTCAAGAACCACGTTCTTTATGGAATGGTGCTTTAGTTATTCTTTTTATGCAATCGTTTCACGCGTCCGCGCGTATCATTATGTTCGACCTTTTTGCTTGCACTCGATCGGAGACCAAGCGAAGGAAAACCTCAAGTTCCACGGATATTGGAATGAGAACGGTAATGATAATGAGATCGATAAGATTACGAATTCTCGCGTGTGTACACTTTGTACTCGCTTCGAGATTTTCGAAAATCCACACCGACCTTTAGTCGGTGAGATTTGTGTCGCGTGAAGATGCGAAAGATAAACGGTTGTTCTTATTTTCGTTAAAAATACGATAAGAGCGAGAGAGAGAGAGAGAGAGTGACAAATTTTTGTCGTTTAAATTGTTTTCACATTCGACGGATAAATCGAGAAGTAAATCGCTGAGGAAGATCGGGAAAAAATTAAAGGATTATGATAATTTACAAAGCGGAGAAATTATTGTTGGATACTTTGGTGTTCGAGTATCATGGTACTCGAAAGATTAGCAATGCGTATATTTGTTGGTAATAGACTTATCCGTCTGCTTATCTTTTAGGTTGTCGAAGTAGGTACTCGTAATTGACAGAAATACCGGTTTTATTTACTCAGTGAACAGGTCGTAACTTACGTTGTTCAATTTTTATAGATGCACAGTTTATTGATAGACGACGGATTAAGTGTTAGATAAATACCCACATCTGCGAATGTAATAACACTTTGCATCGAGTGTTAATCTGCAACAAAAGTGACAACAGAAATTATCATTCGCGTTTATTCTTGCGATACGAGGTAATCGGTAACATTTTCAACGACAGTTTACTCAGATGCTCGAAAAAGTAACACTTTTTCAAATATCGCCTCTGATAACATTTCAGGCTTGATTAAAACTTAAAAATACGATGGATAGCAGTACCAACTGTACTGCTGCGGAAATTATTTACACATTTTCAAACGCGTCGAAAATATTTGCTGACACGCGTGACTGGTAATTCGTTCCTGCCACGATAGTTTCTATTTTTCCACGTACTTATCGACAAAAGTCGTCGCATCGTTTATTTTAATTACGCCTGAAACATAAAACACTTGCTTTCAAGTTTCGAGCAATTATCTACTTTGTGTGCTCGAGACGCAGGATAATAATCGAGCAATAATATTGCCATCGAGTAATAATTAACTCCTAGTGAACCTCCATTTTCCCAAGTCTTCCACCTGTCATTATCCCAGCGAATTTATAATCGTGGTACGACTACCAACGATTTCCCAACGCTCGTGCAGTTACCCTATCATTCTGGCTTAATCCATTTAGGAACATTGTATGCAATTATTTTTAACAGCTAGGTACCTCGGTTAATCACAATAAACAGCTGATTTCCTTTGACGAACACGTGTATTTAACCATTCGCGCTTTCACGAGGCTCGTCGGCTGAAAACCTAACAATACATTTCAGTGTTATCGCCAACGTGGATAAGCAATTATCGTCAATCGTATTTTACGGTATATCAATGACGACACGCGAAAAATTTCCTAGGTTCTATCCACGTAAACACTTGTAAATGTCGTTGTTTACAATTAGCTCCTTCTTTCATCCTTCTCTCTTTCTCTCTCTATTTCTCTCTATTTCTCTCTATTTCTTTTTCCACGTGTTTGCAATAACCAAGTTCGGTTTCGAGGTATTTTAAATATATTTTAAACGGTAGTCACGCGAGCTCGAACACCGTTTCGCACGGATAAGAAGACGAAGACGTCGGGTATGCATGATGCAATTTTGTTTGTTACGAATAATTCGTATCGTTTCCGGGATATCGATTTATCCATCGGCGAGTTAATGGCAGGAGAAATTGGGCATGTAGCCAAACGTGGCATTGCCAGTCTAATACCTCGGATTGTATCGTTGCTAGGTACATGTTAAAATTCGCTATGCACGAGTGTCCGAATTGACGTGCACCCTATCAGCCATTGGTATGGAAAATCTGATAATTCAGAGCGAGCATAGTTTTTGTCCGAGCAACAGTCTCTGTTTTCCATTCGTTAGGAGCAAATCAATCGTAACGGTTCATTTTATGAGCAAAAATCGTGTTATGGTTGAACTTGAAGTTAAATAGAGTACCAGGTAAAGTAGCTTCATTCGATTCCAAATATATTACAGAAAATTTGAAATATGGTGAATAAAAATTAAATAACAAATATTTATGATATTTCGTAATTATTCTTCATGATTTTGATACATTATGCAAAATTTCTGACAATCTTCTAATTATAATTATTTCTAATAATTATATTATAATTAATAATTAGTATATAATAATAATAACTAATAATTATTATATTATAATTTTTAATCAGTTATTTCTAATATAATTATTTCTTCTCAATTGTGTAAAGAATTATCTAAATTAATTTATTTATTAATCCAAACGAGGATAAACGATTATCCTATTATAGTCAGTAGGAAGAGAAAAAGAAATGATGACAAAATTGCAATATTAATTTACAATAATTATATTGGAACCTCGAAGAGTGTCTGTCTAATATTCCTTCCAAAGAAGCATAATTTACACGTGGAATCCTCTTCTCGCCTAA